AGCCTCCCTGTTGACTGGAGGGATGCAGCCAGCGGTGGGAAAGCCCCCCACCCTTGCCTTCAGAGTACCAGGGCCCCAGGGGTGGAAGACACAAATCGCCAGTTCCAGAGGCAGATCCTGAATGTGGAATCCTTGAGGGCAGCTGGGTGGGAGGGAAGACTGCAGTAAGAGGAGAAAGAGACCATCCCCGCCCCCCAACATTACCATGCCAGATAGGGTCTACGCCACATGATGGGCTGCTTACACTCACTCACAAGCCTCCAGCTGCCTCCTGAATAGTTTCTAACAATGGGGACCCTGGTTCCCCAGTCTCCCAGGCCTCGCAGATGAAGACAGCATGAAAACCTAAGTGTCTATGAGGGCTTCTTAAATTGCGCTAAACCCAGCAAAACTAGAGGGACTTGAGGACCTGGCCTCAGGCTTCCATCAACAACCCCTACCCCCATGACCTTTCCAGAATCCTGCTGGAACCTGGAGAGGGAGACAGCATCTCAGCACCTCAAGATGGAGTTCTTCCTGCCCTCCCCTCCATGCTAGGCCTGGTCCACACCTCAAAGACTCAGAGAAAGGAAAGAATGGTTTAGGGGTGTTCCGTGATTGCTAGTGAAGTGGGTGGAGGTGGGTACAGAGCTATGAGTACAGGGTCCGGCAGGGCAGCCCCTGACCAAGAAAAGCTCCCTCAGGACTGCTGACACCTAGGAGGCCGAGGTACAGATAGGAAAGCTTACAGCTAGGAGGCCTAGAGACAGCACACGTCTCAGGGGTCTTCATTTTCTCCTGGAGACCCAGGTTTTGAGTCCTCCACCCCCAACTTTCTGAGCCCTCCGACCTGAAATGCCCAGGTCCCCCTCCTCAGCAGGGCAGGTAAGTGTCTAACAGATTCATTCTCTTCCAGTCCTGCCACCAGAAGTTGTGGAGCTTTGGACAGTTCTCTTCATTTGTGAAGTTTTAGTTTCCCACTTGTGGGATGGGCATGGCCATGGGTGGGGAGATGAAGGCAGGGATGTGGGCAGCGGGCCTGACCTGGGGTCAGGGAGGGGAGTTAGCGACCATTAGCCTGGTAATGCCAAGCTGACCCTCAGGGGCTGAGGGAGGGAAGTGGCCCAGCAACAGTCCTCAAAGAGCTGATATCCCATGTGGGTGTGGGTGGATACAGTGCGAGCTAGAGGCACAAGCCAGAAGCCACTGGAAGGTGTGTGTGAGCCCTTAAAGGAGGAATCTAAACCCCTGAGAAAAACATGCAGTGATGAAGGGACAGCATGAGCAGAGAAAGGAGATAGGAGGGCATGGGAATCTGGCACTCCGCCCACGGGGGCAATGTGAAAGGACTGGACAGAACCCTACCTGCCCACCTGAGGCTATACCCCCTCTCCAATTAATTCTTACCACCAGCCTCTGAAGCAGATTCGACTATCTCTGTTAGAGAAACTGAGGCAAGGTCATTCCAGTGGAGAGGGTCAGCTCTGGAAACCTAAGCTTGAGCCCACAGGACCTACACCTGGTGTCTAATAGGACCCCAAATTGCATCTTCCTGGGAGCTGGCAGGGTCCACCCATACCCACCTGAGGTGCAGGGAGCTGGGCGTGTGTGCCCGCACACAGGCAGAGGGGAGAAGGGGGTTTGGGTGCACAGCGCTCGCCTACTCGTGAGTCAGGCTCTCCCTGGGGACACCAATGTGACAGAGGACTGGAATGAGACTTACCACAGACTAAGAGGGACTCATGTCAAATAGGTTCCCTCCCTTCCCAGGGGCCATCTCAACACAGATGGTCTAGAGGAGGTACCCACTAAAGGTGGGCCCTGGGGAGGGACAGCAGTCTAGTTCCCCTCTCAAATCCTCAACACTCGGAGGGACGTGAGCACCTGCAGCTCTGCATGACAGTGGTGGCAGCGAGAGGCCGCCAAGCCTCACTCCCTCCCTCCTGCTAAAACTGCGGCAGGTTGTTGGGGAAATGGGGGACCCAGATGTGTGATGTTGCCTCCCTCTAATAGGGAGAGCCACTGGGAGGTAAAGACGTGGGCTCGGAGGCCCAGACAGACACACGTCACCCACCATTAACCATAGCTAGACTGACGCATGCCCCATCGTGGGCACTCAGGAAAAGGAGTGCGCACTCCGGCTGTCATTTATCTGCTGGGGAGTGGGGGGTGGGGGGCGGGGTCCAGACCTCTGGCTCCTCTCTGCCCTCTGTCCACTCACCCATGCCCAGAGGAATAGACATTCTGGCCAACACCGTCTCTGGGCTAGAGTGGGGCTGAGAGGGTCCACCCCCCCAGGGGCTCAGCCAGGGTTCCTCCCGCACTCAGGGGGCAGAGAAACTCAGGGATGCTGGGGAACAAGGGACAGAGGTCTGATAGAGATGACAGGGTGGGCACAGAGAAATGAGAGAGGTGGGCAAGGAAGGAGTAAAAGGGGAGGGGAGCGAAAAGATGAGAGACCCAGAGAAGGGGGCAGGGGAAGAATGACAGGATGGGGAGAGGCAAAGCAGAGGGCCCAGCCATAACTGGAAAGAGGAGGGAGCAGGTGGAAGGGAGTCTCCCCCCTCCCGCCCCCCCACCCCCCACACACATACACATATGCACTTGCGTACATGTGGCTTCCTCTGGGTCTGAAAGCTTGACAGGACAGCAAGGGATGAGAGCCCCTCCCCAAGCCAAAGCCCCATCTTGCCTCCAGCAGCGGTCTCTGTCCTTATCCACCCAGAGGCAGCCTTGGTCCACTTCACCTCACGGGCAGAGAGCCACGCGCCAGAGCGACAACAGAAATGACGGCTGGCCAGCAGACCCCAAACCCACACTTGCTTAAAACCCAGCAGCTTGTGAAGCTGGGCCCCACTGCGCCGCCAGATGTGAAAAAGGAAATGACTTTCCTCTCAAGGACCCTCTCCACCGAGGGGTCATCACCCCAGTGCCATGAGGTGAGGGTCCCACTTCCGACCTCAGAAGCCACCTGTGTCAACGAGTCATGCTAGCCTGCTCATGGGGACCCAGGAGAGTTCAGGGAGGATGCCTGCACGCCAGCAGCCCCCCTGGCAGCAGCCTCCACCTTTCATGTCAGTTTAACAAAAGCCCCAACTCCAACCAGCCATGGTGGTGGGTGGGGGGCCTCCCGCGATCCCTCCCCTGCCTCCCTCCATGATCAATGGGCTTCGGCATCTGCGGGACCAGGGCAGCTGAAGGGCGCTGGCTGTCACGGAAAACCTGCGTGTCGCCGCACCATTCGTCGCCTCCCCTTGGACCCTCGGAGCTTCGCGGTCTGACTCCCACCCCCCTCTCGTTCTCTAATAATGGTTTGCAAGACATGTCCCAAACCCTCAAATTAGCTGCAACTGTATTGACGAGAGAAGAGCGTCCAGCTGGAAATGTGCTGTTACGGTCACACCCGCCTCGCCATCCTCTGCCTGGGGACGGAGACAGGTGTCCGCTCTGCTCAGGGTCTCACAACAGTCTACCAAGGAAGACCCCTGCAGGCCCCGCGGGCATCTGACCCACTGCGGGTTGCCAGGAGAGGGAGTAAGGTGGGAAGAGGTGAAAAGAGACGTCTACTCAGACCTTCACGCAACGAAACGGCTAGGGGAAAAAAGAACTGTGGCTTGGCTCTGAAGAAAGAAGAACAACAAAAAAATAATGCTTTTGCTCTTTTTAAACACTGTGGCTTAAGTCTGTTTTCATCACAGCAAACGAAAGACACTAAGACACCCACAAGCTCCGAACTTACAGGATTCTCTTCTGCCTGCAACACCCCCCCCCCCAGACATGTACACGCGAAAAATCCAGACGGTTGACAGAGGACACGTCCAGCGGCACCTGTAATTTGCCAACTGATCACCCGCCTGAGCACAGCCAGGCTGTGTGAGGAGAGAGATGACAAGACAGAGATGCAGGGCAGCGCCAGCCTGAGTTCTTTCTTCCAGCAGGTTTTGAGGGGCTCCGACCCTTGAGTAGAAGTAGTCAAATGATGTAGAGCCCCGTCCCTTCCCTGGCCTCTCCTCTTCCCAGAGGCCAGCCCCTTCCCCTTGACTCCTCATTTCCCAAACTCCAGGCCTGACCAGTGGTGAGTGAGTCCAGGGGCAGGTGGCCCCTCAGACCCAGACGCGATAATGGATAGATAGCAAGACCCACAGGGCAAGGGTGTCTGGGCCCTGACATAAAGCCAGAGCACAGTGCTCACAGAAAGACCTACGCTGCCCTAAAGACCACATGCACTGGATACTCCAGGTCCCAGACACACTGGCCAAGCTCAGCCGGAGGGGATGCCTCAGCTTTCCAGCTCTTGGGGAGAAAGAGGCTCAAGAGATCCACGGAACCAACAGAAGCTGACAGGACCAGGAGGTGCTATTGCTTTGTGGGCATCAGGGGCAGGCAGGGGTCCTCCCTGTCATTCACCTTCTGCCCCAAGCCCAACACCTTCACCTTCCCATGGACCCTTCTCCCCAGTGGACAGAGGGGGCCAGGAACAGGGACACCGGCCCCCTCTGTGGCAGTAGCTACAAGGTGCTCACATAGCCGGCGTCCAGCCTTCTCCCCTCTGGGGAAAAGGCCAAGGAAGACAGGTGCGGAGGAGTCCCCACCTCGGGTCTAAAGCGCCAGGTTGCCACCGGAGAGGAGACGTCGTCCGGCGAACGCGAGGTTCCAACTCTGCTGGGCAGGGGTCGCTGGCTGCCCCTTCACTCAACCCCAGGTTCTCCTCTCACCCGGAGAGCGACAGGGGAATCGGGGGGGGGGGGGCAAGGTCAGGCCCCCACCCCATCCTGAGACTGGGAATCTAGTTCGGCCCCGTTTGGGGGGATGGGTGGGGAGAAGGGGCACCGCGGGGAAGTTTCGCGACGCAGCCAGAAGCGCCGGGACCGCGGCTGCCAGCCCTCTGCGACCACCCCCGGTCGCAACGGGACCCAGCACCCCCGCGCCGGCTTAGGGCGCAGGAAGGGCCCCGGGCGGGCCCGCGGGCGGAGAGGGCGCAGGGTTCCAGCGGGGTCCCGCGGCGGGCCGAGGCCACTTACGTGTGCTGCTGGGGAAAGCTGTAGGCTGAGGCGCCGGGGGCGGCGAGCAGCGGCAGCAGCAGCAGC